TCGACCAATGGCTTTAATCTGTTCCAGAGAGCTAGCCTTTAGTCAAATTAGCTGTTAGTCGAATTAATTTTCCCCATAAGAAATAATGGAAATCAAATTAATCCATTCCAGACAGCCAAAAGTATTAAAAAAAAAAATTTTTTTTTTCTACATGAAATATACATTTCCCTACACAGAAAACAATGAGGAATGCCCAATACATACATAAATATGAAAATACTAAAATGACACTTACCTTTATTGCAGAGTATTGTTAAGTGATGAGACACTTTTTCTTAAACACACTGGGATTTTTAGAGTGATACATGAGTAAAGGCTTCACTTTGCAATCCCCACTAGCATTACAACATAACATGAGAGTTAGCCTGTCTTTCATAGGCTTGTGTCCTGGGAGTGCCATTTCCTCCTGAGTAATGAGTAATGTAGGTCCTGTTTGGCATTTTCTTCCAGAACAGGCCTGTTTTGTCACAATTAAACACTTGTTGGGGTTGGAATTTTTCAGCTTCACCATGCCTTATCACACTGTATGCCAGTACGATTCTTAAATCTCTCAAACCAACCTTTGCTGGCCTTAAATTTACCAATATGAGCACTAGTTCCAGGCATTTTTTCCTTTTCACCTGGGTGTTAGGTGATTGGTGTGGGTTGCATCCTGGGGGACAAGATTAACCCATAAATGGTCCAAACGTATATATACGTTCACTACCCCAGTGCCCCGAATATTTTTTAAAAATAATTTTTTTTATTGAAAAAAAAAGAGGACATTTTTCTAAGTGTTATAGGATAAAAAAAAAAAAATTAGAGTCAGTACTTACCGAGATATGAGGCCACAAAGTTGGCACTTGGGGATCACCTGACGGCAACATGGAGCACTGCCGCTTGCAAAAGTGTTGCTGATATACCTTTTTTTCTATTTTTCATATTTTATATAATTTTCATGTTCTGATAATTACAATTTATAGTAGTTCTTGTCATTTCATAACCAATCTTTGTTCTGATACTAGTATTAGGCACTGAAATTGTACTCACATTGTCACAAACACACTGGCAGGTGGACATTTACACCTGCCTTGGCCATTTACTATTGTTTTGGAATATATACAAAGTATTTATGTGTCCCAGCAATGTTTTGGATATGTGGAAGTATATAATAATAATGAGGAGGAGGAGAAGGAGAAGAAAAATACGTAATAATAATAAAATAATAAGTTGCCTTGAAGCACGAAAAACAAAGTCCACCCCTGACAGTGACATGATAAGATGAGATAACATCTGATAAGAGCTGACATTTGATGAGCATAAACGAGGGGCAGCAGATAAGATTATAGGTGACGTTTGATGACCATTGCCCTCCTTTGTTTTCACTGGTACACAAACATGTCTGTCTGTCAAGCTCTCTGTCTATCCGTCTAGCTCTCTGTCTCAGAGAGAGCCACAAGACTGCATCATCACCTTTACTCACATCTTCAAGCAGAGTGTAGCACTTTGTCTGGATTTTTGGATTATCCTAGGTAATTTACACTATGTATGCATGTATTTATGTGTACCTGTGAGACAGAGACAGATAGACAGGGATAGACAGAGACAGAAACAGATAGAGACAAAGACAAAGACAGAGATAGAGACACAGACAGACAGACAAACAGAGATAGAGCCAGGCTGCCAGCCACACAGCTGGCCACCATGCAGCTGGCCAGCCAGCCTGCCAACCAGCCAGCCTGCCAGCCAGTGGTTTTTCTTGACTTAGGGCATAGATTATAAGACATTCTGAAAGGGTGTTCCACAAATATTGCACATGGGTTATTATCGAGTTTTTTTTTTTTATATTTCCTCGACCACTTGTGGCCACATCCACCTCAAAGCTACTAAACTCAGGGTCAAAATCACTTTCCTCTTAAAATGGGAGTGTTAATACTACATGACATCAGTGAATCCCAGGTGTTTGCTGCACTGTTTGCTCTAGCTGGCACTCATTTGAACTGGTGCTCCCAGATTTTTTTAATACCGCGCACACTGAGTATTAGGACCCATTCTATGCTGACAAGGCATCTCAGGCCAATCGTGCCAAATTTGAAGGCAGGAAAAATAAAACGTATATATATGTTTGGGGCACTAGCGGTAAAAACGTATATATACGTTTGGACCGTTTACGGGTTAAGGACCCCCAGTGGAAATAAGTTAGACAGTCCTCGATGATGCACTGACTTTCTTGGGTTATCCTGGGTGGCTAACCCTCTGGGGTTAATTGTTTCTCGGTAATTGTTTCTCATTAAGCCACTGCAACAACAGTCTCTCCACATCTTCAAGTAGTACAGCTGACCGTGGTGCAGCAACAGCTGGCCATGGTACGATAGTATTTCAATAGTATTTCTCACCCTTTTTACCACAGGGTTAGCACTAGAAGCTTTCTTGGGGTCCATGATGACTTATTTAGTCATCACAAGCACTACAAACACTGGAATAATACAAAATATATCGCAGGTACACATGGAATAGACCGCAACGGCTTGTAAACATTGGCACACTGAGTCTTGGAGTGGCTGGGCCCGCTCAGGCCGCATGGACACATTCAGGACGAAAGTCGTTAGATGAGTTTTTCGCCATTGGTAGAGCCGATATTTTTACCCTAAAGAGCGCCGTTAGACGAATTTGGCGTTAGTCCATGCCACCGTTGGTCGGGGGTCCACTGTATTTCTAACATTCTTTTGAGAGGGTGGCAATCTGTATTACTTAATGCAGAAGCTCCTACTCTTTCCTCAATTTTTCTAATTGTGAAAATAGGTGATTCATTTACATAAAACTGGCCAGCAGTTTCATTACACATGTACCATACCTAAGCATATCTAACATTTCCATTTTCTTCATTAACCTTTTGAGGGTCCGTGCCATAGATATACGGCTTTACGTTGAGGGTCCAAACCGTAGATCTATGTCGTGAGCTCAGCTCACTCTGATAAGCTGTGAGCGGTAAATTTTGGCCTTGATATGAGAGAATACATCTATGTGGTATGTGTGCACCACATAAAACAAATCCTGCAGCACATAGTGCATAATGAGAGAAAAAAACTGAGACCGTAATTTTCGATTAAAACAGCGACTTTTCAGTGTTTGTTCGTGTTTTTATAATTGTATTTGCGATTTCTTGGTCTCATTTGATAGAATAGAAGACATTACAAAAATAGAGATGATTTTGATTGGTTTTAGTACTGAAATGGCTCGAAACTGAGCTCGAAGTAGCGGAAATGTTAAATTTTTGCCGATGTTAAAGAGTAAACAGATGACCTCGCATATCTAATACACGCTAGCTGGTGGGTCTAATATATGTTCACAAATGTGGTGATATTATTTATACAGTTATTACAATATTGCATAACAGTAAATCTATTTTTTGGTTTGAATAAAAATTCATTATGTGAATAAAAAATCAAAATGGAATTCATTAGTAAAGCCTGAAAACGTAACTAATGAACAGAGGAAATGTTAGTTTAGTGCCAGGAATACCTACATTGTTTATTCTGGACCCTATTTTGAACTTTGCATTAACTTGGCCAAATTACCAATTTCCGATCACTTTATTTTGTAGTTGAAACAGTTGACTTGGCGAATTCTTGTGCTCAATCGATAGAATAGAAGTAATACTAGTGAAATAGCTAAGAATTTGGTTGATTGGAATAATGTAATTGGCCTAAAATGGGAGTCAAATTCCACAAAATCGCCGATGCGTAAATATCACTGACAACAAAATTCGTGAGAGCATAATTTCGTCAATTTTCCATCAAATTTCGTACTTTTTGTTTTATTATCTTCAGAAAAAGATTCTCTACCATTTCATAAGAAAAAATAACAAAATTATTTTTTGAAAATTCTTGGACACTGGTGCACACTTTGAAATTTGGCCTCTGGACCCTGAAAGGGTTAAATAGATTAATGCTTATTGTTCTTTGCACTTCCAGTATCACTAATGTTCCTCTTGGGTGCCATGGTTAATATTCAGAGACAGGATATAGTGATGAAAATATCCCATATAGTTTAATAAACAGTGTGAGTGAAGTACACAGTGTTTCCAGAATGCATCTGTAGGTAGTGTGGGTTGTCAGTGAGAGAGGAGTTGTTGTGTGAGTTGTCAATGAGAGAGGAGGAGTTGTGTACCATGACATTAAGTGTCAGTATTTTAGGCATTAGCTGATTCCTTAACACTTTATAGAAATTAATAACAAGATTTTTGCACTCTTATCAACGTTTTTTGGTTGCATTTTGTGAATCTCATTGTGAGAAAATTACACTGTGAAATTACCTAAGTTTTACTGTAGCATATTATTTTACAGAAAATTCATTCTAAATGTTTATTTCCTAAAACTTAATGTGCTTTTTCTTTAACTAAGTGTACATCTTTACATCCTATTTGCCATATTTGTTTATTTTACTAACTTCACCTAGCATATTCCTTTGTAAGCACTTCATATACACTGCTTTTTACAATTGACTGCTTTCTTTATTCCACCATACACAGCTGCTGCTCCCACTACTTGACTTGCACTACTGCAGCCTCTGTTGATTTTACTGCAGATAGTCTTTCAAAGGCAATTATTTTCTCACTATACAAGTATAAGTGTTTCTTTTACTGTACTTTGTCAATATACATTGTAAGCTTGTTAACTCTCCATCTCTCCTACTCATTTGTTATATTTATCATTCTATTTAGATCTCTCCTCATACCTCTGTGGTTTGTGTAGTCTTAGTCTTCTAACTTTAATTTTGGTGTTACTCAGTAGCATATCCCTTACTACTTTGGCATTCATATTTTCATACTTCCCTCTTTTATTATAGTAATCTATAATACCATGTTTCAGTTAAATCTAATCAATACACTGAGAAATTTGATTAGTGTTTAATTGGTACTTAGCTTCATTAGTGTATTGGGTGAAAGGAGGTTGTTACCAGGGTAGGGGTGGTGGAGGGTGGGGTGTCATTATAGGTAGTGAGCTAGTGTCCCCCTACAGTTCCCCCCAACAAAACAAGGAGCATCCAGGTGGCAGCAACGACTAGCAGGGCTGTTGCGTCTTCGTCTGCTACATGAAGAAGGTGTGTCATGAAATCTGTTTTGATGTTTCACAAAGGGCTGCACATGTTTTGTGTGTTTTTTTAAGGGGAACTAAGGCTTTGACACTAAATACAATTTTGCACTAGACACTGGGTCGAGGTGAGTAATTATTTTCAAGTCTCACAGATGTTGCCTTGTTGCCCCTTTTGTTTTGACACCATGCTATTTCATAACATGATTTAATTATTTTTTTCTCTCTTGTGTTGCATGGTCTATCTTATTTTAATATTGCTTGTGGGAACAATACTATATACTTTGGATGTTTGATTTTAAAATATGCAAATGATGATTTTTTTTTTTTTATAAAAGCATGCCTTCACCACTAACAGGAATTAAGTAGACCTGTTTATGGTCCCAGTTTGATGTATTAAGGGAGAGTGGGGATGTTTGGGACACTTCCCAAAGATATTTGTGTAACATCAAGTTCTTCAAGCAGACTTGCTTGGATTGTCATAGCATGGGTACCTTTATTGGCTATTTTGTTGATATGCAACATTCTATGGTAAATTTTAAAGGTAAAAAATTTTGATAACCTTAGGTTAACTGTCGTAACACTTCACACAGATGAGGATATTTCAGACATTTTTACAAAAATGTTTGTGCAAAATTAGGTTCCATAGGCAGGTAGACTTAGCTTGTGTCTAAGCATGAATACATACCTTCGTCATTTTATTAGTGAAGTACTGTACATTATTATTAAATAGAATGTTTTGGAGGTAAAAGAAAAAAAAAAGGACTACATCAGTTTCACCTTGGAGGTGTATTTATACCAGGCACACGTTATTGATTGTTTTATGTACACTTAACATAGCTCTTACATATTTCCTCGAGTCCATCATTGCAGTATTGCTACTGTACTTTTGTATCATATGAAATGTATGACAGAGGGGAAGAGGATAATTTAGTAGTCCCTTCAGCTCATAACCAAAGTATCCTAGTTCACTTGTGGGGCATGTGGAAATTTTGGACAGGTTTCCTTACACCTGTTGCCCCTGTTCTCCTAATAGTAAATAGTTGTCTGAGTCTTATTTGATATTTGGGTTGTGTCCTGGCAAGTAGGGGTAGTAAAGCTGAGATAAAGCAGAACTTTGAAATTAGATAAGTGCAGTAATATCTCTGCCTGCAAATTTGATGGTTTAAAAAATAATTGTCTGCAGTATCCCACCTGTCTGTTTTCAACTGTCAGAACATACACACCTTAAACATTTTGCTATGAACATACAGATTAACATTTTACTAACTGTTCTGGTAAAAATATCTAATACATCAAATATTTTTTTTAACACACTGGCCATTTCCCACCGAGGTAGGGTGACCCAAAAAAGAAGCACTGTCGCCATCATTTACATTATCATTGTCTTGCTAGGGGCACGTAGATACAACAGTTCAGATGTCTCTCCAAACAGTAAATATTCCTACCCCTCTAGTGCAGACACTGCACTTCCCATCTCCAGGACTTGGGGTCTCGCTAGCTGGCTTTGCTGAATCCCACTCCAACAGCCCATCAGGTCCCAGAAAATATTTGCCTCCACACACACCTATCTAACATGCTCACACATGCTTGCTGGATGTCTAAGCCCCTTGCACACAGAACCTACTTTACCCCCCCCCCCCTCCCTCTCTCCATCTTTTCCTAAGATGACCCTTACCCCACCTTCCCTCCACTACAGATTTATATACCCAAGTCGTCCTGTTTTTCAGAGCATAAAACAAATCACATACAAATTTTCAAGAAATTATGATATTTTCTTCAATAATACCTAGATGACAAATCCAGTGGACCAGTTTGGACCACAGTGGTGGGTGATGACTTAATATAGCAACACACATTCATGCTGAATCTCGAAAGTGCAGGTAACAAGTGCAAGAAAAAATTCTGTGATGGAATCGGAGTTACATGTTTGTCCCTCAGTCAGTCAAATCATTTACAATAACTAAACTGGGGCAGTTATAAGTAGAGAGCTTGAATAGCTTACACAGTGTATCTAATAAAGTAGCTATGGTAGTAACTGTCAGGAGTTGAGTATTAATGGAAAAACAAGTACAGGTAGGCCCCACTTAGGTTAGGTTTCAGGCTACTGCTGTATAGCGAAACATAGCTTTTTCTCACTTTGAAATGCTTATAAAAGCCTGATAACATGTTTACACTATCACATATTAAGTGAGCAGTAGAGCTAGGCCTAGGAAATGCATATAAAGTACACACATTGCTTACCTTAAAAATATTTTCATCCTTAGCTTTTAGTGAGTGGTGAATTCGCACCTACTCTCACCCAATTGACTACAAACATAGAAATACATAATACAACTATTACCTAATGAATCTTAACTGGTCATAAGTTTGCCTGTGATACTCCAATATAGGAGCTCCAATGGAAACTATGTATTGTACCAAAACAAAGCCCTTCACATTGCTAAATTTATGAACTGTAATGCAGTTACTTAGCCTGAATACCAACATGCTCCTTGATCTGTACCAATGTAGAGTTTTGAATTAACCTTAGTCTGGCCAAAATGCCTAGCCATGCTAGGGGTGATAGTGTCCCTCTCTGTAATTAGTTTTATATAATATGTAAACCACACAATATCCTATAATATGTAAACCCCACATTGTAATCTTTATAGAGAATAAACTTTATTTGATTTGATTTGATTATAGGAAGTTTGAATCAATGAATAATGGGTATACATTAATTGAAAACTGCTGTAAAGTGAAGTGCTGTAAAGCTGGGCCCACCTGTAGCTCTTTAGAGAGTTCGCAATAGGTAGTTTGTCATGCAACATTTATGTAAACCTGTGGAAGAATGCAATTTGTACCTACAGTTGTGTTAAACTCAGGCCCCAGAGAACTGAGAAAAGATGCTTGACATTGCTGTTAGTTTTTTCATCAGGAAAAATCCATACACTCATATTTTGTAACCCTTGAGATGCCGTGGGCCTAAAAATAAAAACCTACCGTATGATTGACAAAATTTTGAAAAAAAAAAAACTGATTTTCTTCTGAATTTGAAGTGACTATTTTTTGATGGTAATAAAACAGCATTTTGGGAATGAATAAGAAGAATGAAGATGTTAGCATAAGGGAGGTGTGTGAGACATTGAGTAGAATGAATGTGGGGATCATGACAGAATTGTTAAAAACAGATGGGTATATAGTTTTGGAGTGTAGGTATTTTTGTCTCCACAGACTTCGGAGTCTGTGGAGACAAAGAACTTTGTCCGTGGAAGCAAAGAAGGGAATGTATGAGAGTATACTTGTACCAACACACTTGTATGGGTGTGAAGCGTGGGTGATGAATGTTGCAACGAGGAGGAGGCTGGAGGCAGTGGAAATGTCATGTCTGAGGGCAATGTGTGGTGTGAATATAATGCAGAGAATTCGTAGTTTGGAAATTAGGAGGTGTGGGATTACCAAAACTATTATCCAGAGGGCTGAGTGGTTGTTGAGGTGGTTCGGACATGGAACAAAACAGAATGGCTTCAAGGGTGTATAAATCTGTTGTGGAGGGAAGGCAGGGTAGAGGTCGGCCTAGGAAGGGTTGGAGGGATGGGGTAAAGGAGGTTTTGTGTGCGAGGGGCTTGGACTTAGAGCAAGCATGTGTGAGTGTATTTGATAGGAGTGAATGGAGACAAATGGTCTTTAATACTTGATGTGCTGTTGGAGTGTGGGCAAAGTAGCATTTATGAAGGGATTCAGGGAAACCGGCAGGCCGGACTTGAGTCTTGAAGATGGGAAGTACAGTATCAGCACTCTGAAGGAGGGGTGTTAATGTTGCAGTTTTATAACTGTAGTGTAAAGTACCCCTCTGAGAAGACAGTGATGGAGTGAATGATGAAAGTTTTTCTTTTTCGGGCCACCCTGCCTTGGTGGGAATCGGCTGATGTGTTAATAAAAAAAAATGTATATATATATATATATATATATATATTATATATATATATATATATATATATACACATACACAGTGGACCCCCGGTTAACGATTTTAATCCGTGCAAGAGGGGTAATTGTTATGCGAAATAATCGCTATGTGAATGAATTTTCCCCATAAGAAATAATGGAAATCAAATTAATCCGTGCAAGACACCCAAAAGTATGAAAAAAAAAATTTTACCACATGAAATATACATTTTTCCCACACACAAAGAGAAGGATACATGCACAATAGTAGAGTAGTACATGCACAGTATATATTGTGCATGTACTAGTCTACTAAATGAAGAATAAATGACACTTACCTTTATTGAAGATGCAGCAATGACTGATGAGACACTGTGTCCTGGGAGTGCCTTTTCCTCCTGAGTACTGTAGGTCCTGTTTGGCATTTTCTTCCAGAACAGGCCTTATCACACTGTGTATGCCACTACGATTCTTAAATCTCTCAAACCAACCTTTGCTGGCTTTAAATTCACCAATATGAGCACTAGTTCCAGGCATTTTTCCCTGTTCACCTGGGTGTTAGTCGACTTGTGTGGGTTGCATCCTGGGAGACAAGATTAAGGACCCCAATGGAAATAAGTTAGACAGTCTTCGATGACACTGACTTTTTTGGGTTATCCTGGGTGGCAAATCCTCTGGGGTTAATTGTTTCTTGGTATTCTCAATAAGCCACACCAACAACGGTGCTACAGCAGCAGCAGCAGCTGACAGTGCAGCAGCAGCAGCAGCTGACAGTGCAGCAGCAGCAGCAGCTGACAGTGCAGCAGCAGCAGCAGCTGACAGTGCAGCAGCAGCAGCAGCTGACAGTGCAGCAGCAGCAGCAGCAGCTGTACCACCAATAGTAGCGATGGTTGATTGGGGTTTATTATACAACCTGGCCAGCTCGGAGACATGCACTCCACTTTCATACTTATCAATGATCTTTTTCTTCATCTCTATTGTAATTCTCACCCTTATTGCTGTAGGGTTGGCACTAGAAGCTTTCTTGGGGCCCATGGTCACTTATTTTCCAGAAAAAGCACCGAAAACACTGTAATAATA